TATAGATTGTTTTCAAAAGTCTCGTTCACAAACTGAATAAAACTGTTAATAGCTGATGTTTTGGAACTATTTTTCCTAAAACCAAACTCTGTTGAGCAAAATAAATTATAAGCCTCAAAGTATTCATTAATTTGATCTTTCAACAATAATTCCAAAAATTTTCGCAAAAATAGGTATTAAGTCAATGGGCCTGTAGTTGCATAACTCTTCAGTATTCCCTTGTTTGAAAATGGGTATAATTTTAGATAGTTTGAAAAAATACGGAAAAGTATTTCTTTCTATACACTGATTGAATAACTTGGTTAGAGGATATATGATGAGATATTGCAAGGTTTTGACCATCCTGACAGTAAAACCATATGGGTCAGTAGTTTTTGAATTTTGTAGTTTATTTATGACTGTTCTCACATCATGATATGTAACTTCCATGAATCGAAAGTGTGAACTATGAGTAGGATGATTCCTATAATACGATGCAGAAACATCGGATGGGGTAATTTTATTTAAAAGTTTTTGTGCGATATGGGTAAATAAGTCGTTGAATTGGTGTGCTGTGAGAGATGTTGAGGAGTCCTGGTTGTGTGCGTTCGGTTTAACATTCTTTATGATATTCCAGGCAGCATGTTGTTTGTTGTGGGATTTATTAATGTAGTCATCATTAGCTTTAATCTTAGCTTTGACAATTTCTTTTCTGTAACTGTATTTAAATTTTTTCAAGCAGTCCGTACTAACTAAAGTAGCATCGTCTTTTTGAAGCTCTGTTAGGAAAGTCAAAGTCTCTCTCATATTTCTTATATGATCATTGAACCAATACACATTACAGGAGCTTTTATTATCATTAACAAGTCATGATTTTATAGGAAGATGTTGATTGACCGAATTTCCGACAATAGATATGGATTTTTCGACTTTATATTCGATTGTCGTACTTCTTTCATTAACAAATTCGAAAGATGTTGATTCCATATCATGGTAAAGTTTGAAAACGCCGGTGTTTGTTATAGGTCTATAACAGATTTTCCTACGTACTTTCAGTTTATGTGATAAATTAAAGGTATAGTCAAGCGCTATATTATCTGAATAATGAGTATCAAAAACATTAACGCTATTTTCTGAGTCTACGTAGTTTATGAAGATGTTATCTAGGCAACAAGTTTCTTCTGACTAACTATTGGCATGAAACCATAACAACTAAATAAGTTCACAAGCTCACGAGTTTGGTGTTGTAACGTATTAAATCTAACATTAAAATCTCCTGCTATCACGATTTCTTTGCGGTAATCGAGTCCATTCAATAAACGATAAAGTTTCATAATAAAGTATTCAAAATTACCATCAGGAGATCGATACAATGAGATTAACTGAAGATCATTCACATTTACTCCGGCCGCCTCAAAGTGTAGTGCTTCTGACAGATTCAGAAGGTTATCTGATAGAGGTATGGCATTAACATGATTTGCTATATAAATAGCCACACCACCACGTATTTTCACATCTCTAAAGAAACTAGATACAGGTATAAAACCAGAGATATGATAATACGATAACTCATCTTTTCTTAACCAGTGTTCATTTATAGATAGCATTGTATATTTATTCTTTTCACACAGTGTTTCGATGATTCCTGACTTACAGCGAACACCTTGGATATTTAGATTAGAGTCTAAAGAGCACATTACTGTTATTTACTGTTTTAACAGATAGTGGTTTAGGTATTGTATTATTCTGTTGTTTATCTTGCCTAATGTGTGCTTTACTTAACGGGGCTCCAACAATCACGAACACCATCTGCTGAGGTAACGAGGGGGTGAAAAAGAAACGAGGGTAGGCTGGCCTTAGACGCTCGTCGGCGCTACTTTAAAAGAGGAAACGATGACTGCGGGTGCGTACCGAGGTAAATTTTTATAATAACAGAGTCAGATTTCAATTAGCGATCTAGCCTGTAAATCGTTTCCTATTTTGGTACTCAGCAAGTGATCATTTAGTATTGTTCTACCCTTGTTACTGTTTCGTCGATATTGTGTTGTTGAATTGTTGTGCTGTACTCTTGTTGGTGTGATTGTTCTTGAGTGCCTTTTTTTATCAAGGTTGATAATGGGCAATAAAAGGTTATATGCGACAATTGTAATTACGAATGCAGTGAGATTAATTCATGATGAGGACAACAATAGTGTGGAGCAGTTCAACTCTATAATCGCAAAATACATTGGGGTAAGCGAATAAATTATTGCAAGAATAGGTTATACCATGGAAGATGTGCTGCAGCTGTAGTGAGAAGCCACAATACCGAGCGGCCTGTCTAGGTGGTCCAAATAAATTTGCATTCTAAGCTTAGTCCAACCTCGCATATCACTAAGATGGAACAAAGACTCAAACGAAAGAATCTTAAAAAGAAACTTAGACCAAAAAATGCTGATATAAAAATAACTAACAATTCGGATAGCAATTCCAAAGAAAATGAATAGTTTTATGGCGAATTCTGTCAAAAACCTGATATGAACGACATTGATTTGGAGACTGCTAAGCAAGAATTTAGAAAAAGTGACGACGAGATTTTACAGATCGAACAAGTCACCAAATCACAGGGCTGTACTTTGTGGCATCTTCATCGGACGATGAGGTTAAACAGCGTCTCGATTTGCTGAAGTTTGAGGAAGAAGGCAGACAGCAAGCTGTAAAGTTCTAGTAAGCACCATCATATACCCAACAGAGTTTTCTAGTAAGGCAATAAAAAAAGGCAATACGAAAATCATGGGACACGGCAGTTCAATCTTGTGGTTTGTTTATTGATCCCACACATCCATTTCTGGCAGCATCACCTCCATCTGCCTGTTACAGTAGACAAGACATGTACTTAATACAGGTATAAGCCTACCTGTTTATTGCTTTGTAAAAACTACCTAACTGTTTTCTCTTATTTTGACGGCATAAGATATGTTTATGACCCTCGTTCAATTGTTACCATCTACCACATGACTCTTGTAAACATAATTGTGTTTATTGACATGACTAACGAATTTGAGTTCTTGAATTTATTTTGGGAAAGATATAAAATTATTTGAATACATTTTTTCTTAGTCGGAACGCACCGTCGCGTCGCATGGACTGGCAGGACAAAACAGTAGACGAATTTCGCCCAAAAACCGATTTGCACTTCACAGCTTACGTTTCATTTTTTATTATTTCCAAATGAAATTCTTGCAGAATACGAACAACAAAGTCCACAGGGTGATAATGATCCATTTTTTACGATTTTATCCACTAGGATCTTTTTAAAATATCAAGAAGTTGAGCACAAATAGTAAGCATTTCAACCCACCATAATTCTTACACAAAGACATAATTTTGTATAAAGCTCTGATAGCACCTTAGGCAATTATGTCCTTCTTATATCCAGAAAAACATCACAAACTGCAGAACACAAATTGAAGGTAACGGCGAAATGGGTACATTTCATGGGTCATGAAATTCAACTGAAAATGCAGGTATAAAATCTACCAAATTATAGTTCTCAAAAACATATTTCCTTGACATATCGATAATTTCAAAGTTCCACGCTAAATTCCCCTATACTTGACTGGAGTGATATCCGAATTTATTCTTCCCTACTGTCGGTAGTTGCAAATTTGTTGGCTCTTGGTGTCAAACCTATAAAGCAGGTACCGATTTTTTCAAATCGTGAGCACATTATTCGTCGGATTTTTGTTACTTAAACTTCCTTTAATTACTGGGATCAGAAGATTCTTAATAATAGAACGTGTTTCACTGATTTCAAGGGGGGGCCCTTTTTAAGTAGTACCATTTTTTGAAGTCAATGATTAGGAAAACCTGAAACGTGAAAAACGGAGTTGCAGCAATTGTTACTTTTTCTTTTTTGCTTATAGCACCGTTGCCACTGGACTAAAACTACATAGCTTTGGCATACTAGTAACCCCAGCGTGGAAATTTCATAAAAATCCGAGCGGTAATTTCCAAGTTGATGATGAGTGATCGTGATGTAACATAGATGTCATATGACTTAAAAAACATAACATCTCATTTTAGAAATTCTTCGCGATTACAATACCTTCTCGCCAATGGCGTGGGAAGTAAAACGGCTTTAAAATCGAAGAGTAAGCGATCGCGATTATGAGCACCTATTTGCAAAACGAGTTATCTAGGCGACATTATATAAAAAGGCCATCAAATTATCTGAATACGTCCTTTTTTAGTCTGTACATTGCGCCGCAACGCTTGGGTTGGTAGCACGAAACAGTAGACAAAATTCGTCCAAATTACCATTTGTACAGGTTTTGCGCGCTTCGGAATTGATGCTTTATTTTTTGATATTTTTGGATGAAATTTTCACAGTGTGCTGACGACAAAACCCCACAGGGTGCTATAGAGCCACTTTTTCATTTTTTTCACTAGGTTCTTTTTAAAAAAATCGCGAAGTAGAACAAAAAAAGTGCGCACTTAAACCCATCATAAAACTTGTGCAAAAACAAAATTTCAAAAAGTGCTCCTATAGCACCCTGGGAAATTATCTTCTCAACACACTGCATGGATTTCATTCAAAAATATTGAATAATAGAGTGTCAGCTTCGAAACAGCTGCACCCTTGTAAATGGCTTGAAACTCACTGCGTCGTAGCGCCTTAAGAAAAAACTGTTTTTCAGACTTGTCGGGGATGTTGGTTTGTACAGTTTTCAAAGGCAACACATTTTTAAATTGTTCAAAAATAATATCTTTTACATGCTGGATGATTTTCATTTTTGATCCCGGAACTCTGATGTCATAGGACAGGCTCACGGAATAGTTTCTATTTAGTTTCCTGAGACTATCGACTTTAGTATTGATCATATTTCTAAGAGGATAGTTGACAGATGTGGTCAATTCGCATAGAAAAATAAGATTGGTTACTCGACCGAGAGGTAAGAGGCAATGTAAACGTTTGTTTAAGGATGGGGTGTTACTTATGTTGTTAGAGGTGATCATGAAGATTACAAAATCGTTCTCACCAAGAGATTTTGTGATGTTAAATACGTTTTTCGTGATATCTACAAACTCTAAATGGGGATAATCGTGAGCTTTTATGGACATCTTTGTTATGTCGATGTATAGTTCTAACACTTTTCTGAAGCTTTTTGCATATTCGTCACCAATTATAATGATTTTCCGACAGCTGTCTGAGGCATTACGTTGCGGTGGTCCACCTGATAGTACTATATCGATTATTGGTGCATCATCGAATTCTATTGCAGTTTGTCTTGCAGATTCTGCTGCTACATCGCCGTCTAACTGGGGTATAGGGGAAACGATAGATGCACATTGGGCAAAAGTCGACGCTGTTTGATGTTCGTCGAATTCATTTTCTATCGGCAGGCTTTTACACATATCTTTTGTCTTCATTTGGAGGCTTGTGACCCTAATATCGTTCGCATCAGGTGACTCTTCCATCAGAAGTGAGGTTGCCAGTTCATGCAGTGTACTGTTTTTTGAGGATAAATATGCAAGTTGTTGCTCTATATTTTGTATTTGACGCTTGTAAGTCTGGATCTCGTCGTTCAATTTCAATCACATCATCCTCATCCTCTTACATACTGCATTTTTGGTGAAAATGTCCACTATTTCGCGAATACATATTTTATATAAATATGTGCAGCCTCAGATTCACTTCCAAACTGTTTTATCTCCCACTCCATTAAAATAGGCGTACAAGCGTTTTTTAGCTCAAACTCTGCGGAAACAACAAAATTATTCAGAACCTCGACTATTTGTGTACTATTATCGAAGTTTAATGAAAGCAAGCGTATTTTAAATTATAATAGTAGTGCAACGTTAAACTTGATATAAACAGGAATTTTCGAGTTCTCAACAGACGCAACCTTTGTCATTGTTGACTACTTTCCAGGAACGTGAACGAGTGAATTGATGAATTAGTGGTAGAGAAATAGAGGCATTCCAATACCGGACAGATAGTATCAGGTTTTTTTCGTTTCTACACATACTGCTTAAGTTTTATATGAGGGTTGTGTCACAGTTAAGGTTCCCACATTTTTTCAGGCTCAAGAAACTTTTTATTTGCAAAAACGAATTTACCATTGTAAAAGTTAATCTTTCAGCTATTTTTCTCTACACAGTCGCCATTTTTTCTACGCATTTTGTAAGACGTAGAAAACTTTATAACTGCTCCTTGCAACCCTTCGTACGTCTCGAATCGTTGATCGCCTAGCTGCACCTTCAGTTTCGTAAACACTGTCAGGGTTGTAAGGGGGAGGGCGATGACTTTCCAGACAGATCGCTCGGTTCAGTCCTTCGTTTGTTGTGAGACATGAGGATGCACATTGTCCTGGTGCAGTCTTACACTTTGCAGAGTTTTCCCAACAACGATTTTGCTTTGCCCGTCTCAGCTTCTTCAGAAGCTTCAAGAGATTCAAGCGCCTGCTCCCGGATCGTAATTCACTGATCTGCTCAATCTTCGCCATAACTTCCTCGGAGATCTACGGCCTTCCGCTTCTTTGTACATCGTGGATATCCATGCGGCCGTCAAAGAACTCTATTTACTGTTGATGGCATGTTGAACGCTTATACACGATTCCCATATACTTCGCTCAACTGGCGATGCATTTCTATGGGTGGTAGCGTTTTTCCATGCAAAAATCGGATGACTGCAGGAATTTTGCTCCGGACGATGTCGGCGGATAAGCATGACAGTGTTGCAAGGTTTCGCCTAGCATCCCACGCGGCAAAGTTACAGCGTTATTTTTGAAAGAACCCTCGTAAATGTCTCAACAATATTTACAGAACAATTATAAACACATAAATGGCGCATTCTTGTGCAGAATTTTTGTTCTTTTACCGGCTACTTGTCTAAACGGTTTTGAAATTATGTTATGTATTTAGTTATGATGCTAGAATAAGACAGTATTATTACGGATTTACCATATCATACCATACACCCTTTTTAAAATTAAACAAATTTAAAGACGTTTCAGAACTACCCTGAAACGTGGAGCCATTATTCGTTTTATAAATGCATTTAAAAATGCGTTTGTATCCTTTTCTTGTTATAATTTTTGTATACAGAGTGTAAAGTTAGTAGTGAATCAATGGAAGTCAGGTGATAGAGGGCCTCAAAACCGATCGAGTGATCCCGAATGTATGGTCCGAAATTTTATAGTTCAGGAGATATTTGCAAATTTGTGAAATTTCGAAAAAACGGGATAATGAACTTTCAATCACAATGACAACTAAACCAGTAGGTTTAGGGCTGTGCTTGTTTCCCTGAGATGAGCTAAATGGTTAGTTTTAGCAATGAGTATGTCACTTTTTAACAGAGCTTATTAGAAATCAACGCAAAAAATCTGATATTCAGTTCTTTTGTGTAAAATCTCTTCCATCCCTGAACTTTGGAGGGCGGTAAAAAAAATTAGGTTACATTGTATGTATTATTCGTTTTATTGTAAAAACTATTTCAATCCATGTAGAAGAAAAAAATTCTATTTTACGAGCTACCGTCCAAAGAGCAGCAGTGCGAGTGATACTGTGTGCATTAACATTTCCAGGTGCGGGAGCATTCAATCTTCGGTCCGACCAAAATTACTGAGTCAGGATAGTCCAGCGGGGAATTTGTATCTAACGTTTGGCATCTGAGTAGAATCATGTCATATTCTCCGCGAGATTATGCATAAATGCATTACTATTATGGTGCTGCCCTAGGAAATGCTCGAGTAGCTGCTCGCATGTATCGGGAGCATGTGGTTAGAAGAGGTGGACCACAACCGTTGGTATATCCCGACTACCGCGTTTTTTTTACGCGTCCATAATGCGTATATGGAGGGCCGCATACTGGGCACTCATCGTCAGCTAGGAGCGCCGATGATACGCCCAGTAGAAATAGAAGATATAATAGCAGCAGCCGAGAGGATCCCTCTATAAGTACCAGAGCCATTGCCCGAAGCAGAAACATATCCCATACTTCAGTGCACACAATACTACGCTGGGAGGACATCATTACCATGTACAAAAAGTACAAGAATTGCTTCTAAGCGATTTTGCACAACGGGTAGATTTTTGTGAGAAGGTGCTAACAGGATGAAGCTAGTTTTCGAAAAAAGTATAACTGGACAACTGCACTTCTACATGTGACTGATTATATTGCCAAAGTCACTGATTAGGGAAGCTGTGCAGTCTTGTGTAGATTAATAAGGTTGTTAGCCATGTGGTCCGGAGAGAAGCTAAATGAAACTTGAATATCAACTGCATAAGATCGACTTGAACAGTGTTGAAGAGTGTTAGCGATATCAAAAGTGTATAAACTTAGTGACAAAAAAAGGTAAACACTTACGTATGTTCATCCGATTTTAATAATAGAGCTGCGAAAGCCACGTCCCAGAGATAGGTCAGGCGATTGTGGTGGCCAAGGTAAAATGTTGATGCGATGTTAGTACATGAAGGCTAACGATACTCTGGCAACATGCGGTCTGGCACTGTCTTGCTGAAAAATCGGGTTTTGGATGGTGTTTCGGTATGGAATAAGATGAGGCTCCACTACTCATGAATACATTGTCGGGCTGTCGTATTGCCTTTGATGAAAATTAGTGGTGATCTGCTACCATAAGCCATAGCACCCCATACCATAACTCCCACGGTGTGGTGAACAAGTCACTTAGCTGGGACATCTGGCGAATTCTACGCACTCTAGGTGTTTTGAGCAATCTCAAAAAGGCTTCTCAATAAGCTACACGAAATTTAACATTTAAATGACACCGTAAATGTACGAAAACTGAATGCTTCTTTATCACCAAACAATACACGCAGCGAGCGCAAAAACTTGACAGAAAAATCTGACCATTATATCACTTGTTGTTCATGGCAAGATAAATCGATATGTAAAAAATTCTTCTGTTGTATAGCAGCTCGTTACAATTGTCTTCTCCCTAATTCAAGATATCCTGGTCTATTAGGCGTATCACCTGTGGTTGTTCGATCAGTCGCTCGGATAAAGTTTACCCCCGACGTCCGCTTTGGTAATATCCTAAGAAAATCGATGAATCTCCCGTTGATCGGTCCTTTTGTTAGGCGCGCTATGCGGAACTTGACGCAATTCCTTGCCATTCTGTGCTTTCTGTTGTGTATCGTTATCAGCCGCCCCAATTAAATCCGTAGCAGAAAGATGGGAAGATCGACACCCTTATTACGTGAAAACTTTAGCTGGGATCACAGCTACCACTCTTATCAAAGGAAAAAACTTTGATTGCACGTTTCATCATACATAGAAAATAGGACGTTTGGATTCATAATTGACAAAAGCAAATTTATCGATATTTTTAGACATTGTAGCCGTTTAAAAAATTTACTCCACAAATTGAATTGCAGTTTAAGTATTATGGCATAGATCCAATTGCCTTGAACTTTTCTCGTAGATATATATCAAATCGCAGTGTGTATCAATTATTAGCAATAAATATAGTTTCTTAGAAATTGCAGCTGAAGTACCTCAGGGGTTATTTAAGTCCCTTGTTGTTTCTGATATATTGCGGATCTACATAAGACTGTGAGTTTCTCTGAACTCCGGTCTTTCGCGGACGATACTCAAGGTGTTCATTATTTTGATATTGATGACAGAGAAACGGTGCGGGAATCAATAAACCACGATTTCAAATATTCGTCGAAAAACTGTATGGATTTTCGAATAATCATAGCCTGCCTAGATCCTTGTAAGTCAGGCCATTTATTTTTTGTTCTGATCTAAACGAGAAAAAGTCAACTACCGGTTAAAATTGGATCTCAAAGACTACCTGGTTGATGAGGCTAAAATGTGTGGCTTAACAATTGATTTTAAACTTATATTAAACCAGTTTGAATTTAGACAAACTGTTACGTAGGTATTTTGAAACCTTTCTTGTAGGAAAGTCCAAAAATATTATACGATTTTGTAGCGCAAAAATTCCATATCCTTACAAAGAAATTAAATTTGGTGAACTTGCGTTATTTAATCCTGTAAACCGACATAAGATTTAAAATCTACGCATTCGGTTTATCTAGGGAGCAAGCATACATGCAAATCATCAAAGGAATCGATTCCGAGCACGGTATCGCAGTCATGAACGAATCGAAGAGTTCCATTCCGAGGCCAGAATCGAAATCGTGAACGAATATAAGAAATCCATTCCGAGGACAAAGTCGGTATCATAAACTTATAGCATATAAAGAATCGGTTTCGATACCGGTATCGGAATCATGCATACATGTAAAAAATCGGTTCCGCAACCGGAATCAGAATCATGAACTTATCCGATGAAGTGATCCCGATACCGAAATCGGAATCGTTAACGAATCAGGGGATTTAGTTCCGAGGCCGTAATCGGAATAGTGAACGTACTGAAAGGATCGATTTGGGGCTGAAATCAGAATCGTACACGAATGTAAGGAATCGTTTCCAAGGCTTGAGTCGG